GTCAAAGAAGTCTTCAAGAGGTTGCTACTGTTGGTCACTGATTACTTAAAAAAATTAAAACCTAACATAGATTCTATTCATACTATATTTTCTTATAGTATTTTTTAAAATTTTCTTATTTGTACAGTTATTTCTAAAATATGTTTAACTCAGTCATTAAAAGTGAAGGTAAAAGGTACAAAAATTTCAAATACTTAAAATATGAGTGTATTAACAATTATAATTATTACAACATGAAGAAAATCGAGAATTCAAATCACAGAATAATTTGAGATGTTTTTCTAACAGTAATGAGGTAAAGTAGCAAATTACTAAAGAGACCAACCTTCAGATTTATGCTAACCAAATGTGAGTAAAATAAATAGGTCTACTTTCACTGACAATGTATTTGAAACTGGATTAATCAAACCTGCTTTGACACAGATGCTTATGTTGGAACTTCAGTGGCATTAAGGAAAGGCAGGTACTAGAACTCTGTGCTGGTTAAGGGTGGGAGAAGGAAAGTTCAACTATGGCAAGCTCTTGACTAATCTCCAGTCTGGTAAGTCTAAAAGTGTGGCCCTTGGGCGATCACCATCAACATAACCTGTGAACCTGTTAGTAACGCAAATTCTCAGGTACTGCCCCAATTCTGGGAACCTTGGTGGCACAATGGTTAAGTGCCTTTAGGTTATCAGATTGAACCCACCAGCTGCTCCATGGGAGAAAGTTGTGGCATGAACATCACAGCCTTGGGAACCCTATAGGGCAGTTTTACTCTATCTTATAGTGTTGCTGTGAGTCGGACATGACTCAATGGTAATAAGTTTGTTTGTTTTTATTAATAAGATCTGGAGCCATCTGGGAAGGAGTGTCCATGACTGTGTATAGGGTTGGCAGATGAGGTTTCTACAAGAATATCTGTATGTTCTGTAAGAATGTCCAAATATATAGTAGAGTTGGCAAGGGACAAGGTTGTGGCGACTTCTTGGCCACAGCCAGCTACCAGGAGGGAGCAATAGTTGGACCTATAGGTTCAGGACCACAGTCCCAGGGGACATCAGGCTCAACTGGCATAACGTATTACACAAAAACACTGTTTCATATCCTACTTTGGTGAGTGGCAATTGGGATTGTAAAAGCTTGCAAGCTGCCATCTAGATGCAATAATAGGTCTTTCCTTGTCCAGAGCAAAGAAGAATGAAGAAAACCAGATTCATGGAAACAATTTGTCCAAGGGACTGGAAGACCATGCGATCCTCAGCCTGTATGACTATGAGACCAGAAGAACTGGATGGTGCCCGGCTACCACTGTCAACCACTCAGAGGGGAATCTATGTAGGATATCCTGGATAGAATGAGAGAACAATGTGGAACAAAACTCAAAATTACAAAAAAAAAAAAAGACCAAGTTTGCTGGTCTGTTAGAGCCTGGTGAAAGCCTTGATGCTATCTATGGCCCTTAACTGCCCTTCAGGTCTAGAACTGAACTTACTCCTGTGGCTTCCAGCCAAATAAAAGACAGCATATGGGCTAAACATTTACATCAGGTAGATTCCCTCGCTGGAGAGATCATCATGGGAGAACAGAAGGGCAATGAATGCACAGGGAGACCTCTTGGGGGCAGGAGTACATGGGAGGAAGGACACAGGGAAGAGGGTAACTATAAGGACAAAGTGGGAAGAGAGCTGTTATACTGTGGGAAACTGCAGTCAATATCATGAGACAAAATGTGTATGACCTGCTGTATGGAAAATGAAATCGCTCTGTGAACTTTCACGCAAATCACAATAAAATTAAAAAAGAAAAAGATCTGGAGGTCTGGTGGTACAATGGTTACATAAAGTCAGCAGTTCAGTGGCTTAAACCCATCAGCTGCTTTGCTACAGAAAAGACCTGGTAATCTTATGTGGTAATGATTTCAGCTTAGGAAACCCTATGGGGCAGTTCTACTCTGTCCTGTAGGGTTGCTATGAGGTGGAATTGACTCAATGACACACAACTATAATATTAACCTCAGACCTACTGAATCAGAAACTCTATAGCTGGGGTCCAGCAATCTGTCTTTACAAGCCCTCCAGGAGACTCTGAAACACATCCAAATGTGTTAACTACTGCTCTAGTCTCTCATCACCCCAATTAACCATATTCCTTCATAATTTTTTTTTTCCTCTAGTGTTTGCACCTGTAACAGGATTTATACTGTTTCTGATTTATGCTGGAGAAGATGGAGTCCAGAAGTTTCAAAATTTTAAAAGAGGGGCTGGCAACAAAGAACAAGACAATGGGAAGACTTCTAGTCAAAAAGGAAAAGAACATTCTCAATAGCTATGAAAAACTGAAACTCCAACTAAGGGTAAGTGCCTAAAAAAAGGAGAAGCATCAAGGAAAGGAGGTAAGAGTTTAAAAAGGAAAAGAAAGCAAATGCATATACACCTGTGCCCACACAGTCCCTACAGAAAGGCAGCTGCAAAGAGGCAGCAACAGGATCATATGCAAGTGAGGATCCAGTCTGTACTCAGAGGATATTCTAAATGGCTTCACAGGAGTCCTAAAAATTAACAAGCACTTGGAAGACATCTTGAGGCCCTCATAACATGCCAACCGTAAGAGCAAGCTGCAGACTTTTAGCGAAAGGTCAAATAAAGTCCAATTTGCTCTGATCTCAGATGATAAAGATTAAAGCACACCGAGTGTGTAAAGATTAGCACACCAGAGTATAATGTACACATATATGGGTAACACACTGTTATTCAGTAAAAGTCAAGCAGAATATTGAACTGCAAACCTCACAACAGTAGGGATCTTCTTAAATTGCTGTCTTCCCTTCTTTAGAGTTAAAATGCCACTACTTTAATTCCAGGGCTAGTTTTTCTCCCAGCTCTTATCAGCTATCTAGTCCTGAGGGGGCCACCACATTTAAAAAAAAAAAAGAAGAAGAAGAAGAAGAAAATTCTCTTTTCCTTTTGTATTCTTAAGCAGAAGGTTGAAGTTTTAAAAATAACTTTTAAGAAGCCAAGATAACTCAATAGCAGCAACAAGATGAAACCATTCACAGAACACAGGCATTTGAAAAGCTAGTATCTAATCTAAGCTAGTCACAAATCTAGCCACAAGGGACTTCTGCTACAATGGCCCCTGACTTTGGATGGCTTCTCAGAATATATCACACAGACTGTAAAACATGCAATGGAATTCACACACCATTAACTGTGGGTAAATGAACAGAATTATTGCAAGGTATATTATATTTAGTAACAAATTCAGATATTAAAAAGTAAAATAATCTGATTTGCAACACACACCTCACAACTAACTAAAGCTTTGTTGTTGCTGCTGTTATGTGCCTTCAAGTCGAACCCAACTCATAACGACCCCTCCTTGGGTTTCCGAGGCAGTATCACTACAGAAGTAGATTGCCCAACCTTCCTTCGGAGGCATGGCCAGTGAGTTTGAACCGCCAGCCAACTGGTTAGCAGTCACGTGCTTTAGGCACTACGCTACCAGAACTCCTACCCAAAGCTTTACAGCCCCAATATTTTGAGTTCTTGAAAAAGGCAGGCAGAATAAATAGTTTCCAAACCCCAGTGATTTTAAGGGCCCCAACAACCAGGAAGCAGGGAAAAACAAAACAAAACTAGGGACGATAGTCCCCCAAAACCAGGAAATAAGGGGGAAAAAAAAAAGCCAGGAGGAGGGGTTCATAATTTCCCTAAAAAGAATAGTCTCCTGCTTCAAGCTATCACATTCCAATTCTAAATAGCTTCACAAAGGGAAAGCCATGTAACAGCCGCTTTCAATGGCCTGGATTTGAAAGTAGAAGATAATAGTGTGGAAATGAGGAATGCATTTGACTGCGTTAAGGAAACTGATACTGGCACTCCACCCCGTTCCCTTGGATGAAAGCTGCTCTAGCTCAGTCACTATGATCATGAGAATCACGGGGATCACTGTTTATTTTCAAAGGGTTCCTAATCAGAATACCCCTGGAATATAGGCTGGCAGACACTGTCATGTGACCCCAAAGAGAAAAACTGAGGCACAAAAAGAATTTAAATGATCATCTAAATAGAGAGAACAAGGATGGATAAAAGCTGATATTTAGAGTTCTGTTAAGCTTAGGTCATGTGATTCCAATAACCTATACTTAACTCTTTCTACAGATACACATAAGGGCTTTGTTGATTCGTTCCATAGTGAAATAACCTCAACTAACGCTTGAGAAACTACTTCTTGTAATCTCTAAATGTTTCTGGAGATTAGCCAGTACTGAATTATCCTAAACCATTTGATACAGAGACTAAAATATGAAAAAACCGTAGTACCAAAAATACCACAGCCCAGTCTAAATATGACTCAAAATCAGCATTTCTGTTAGTGACAATGAAATGTTTATTTCTACTGAACTGAGCCCTTAAGCATTTAAAAAAAAAAATCTGCTTTTATAGATGTCTCATTTATCTAGTACTGAGGGACAACGTCATGCCATTGAAGAGGCTACAGTATGATATGATTTGTTCTTTCAGTCTTTGACAGCCTTTTAATACAGACACAAAATGTTTTACAGTTTTTCTGGGGAATTTTACAGTAATAACCACTGTCAAAAATAGTATAAAATGTTCCTAATTTAGCTGTTTCCTAGAAACTAGACTACTCCATAATCTCAAAAAGAATTGCATCAGTATTGCTCATGTATACTACACCATCAAAACGTAACCTATGGTCTTCAAAACAGAAGTGGGCCCAACTAACAAAGAACTGAGTAATGTGACCTATTTCTTAGCTCCATTTCAAGCAGTAGCCATCTCAGTTTAAAAGCTGTAACCTGATATGAACTCTTCACATAAAACTAACTCAATACAATTTTAAAACCAGTAGTCAATAACGTTAAAAATTAAAATTATGAATAATAATTATTTATCCTTTATTCACTAAATTGAAAGACTGTACTTCTCTCATTCATTATGTTATTTAATAATACATGAAGAAAATACACAGAAAAACTCACTATGCAGACCTACGTTTTGGCTGTAACATCCACATACTGTCCTGGGCGAAAATGTGCAGCATAAAGAGGAGTGCCTTAATGAAAAAGAAAAAGCAACATGAAATTTGTCAGCTCAGAAACAACTGTATTAAATATAAAATACACCCAGAAAGTCTTCTAGCTATCAGATTTCAAAAATGGTAAGAGATTAATTTCTATAAGTATAAATATTAAATCATTCAAATAATAAAATTGTTTTTGAAGTCTATATGTGGGCTGAAGAACAATGTGCCTCAGTATGTGGTACCTGGTGTTAGAGTGAGCCACCAGACCACAGCTGACTGATGGATGGGCTAGGGGCCCAAGTGGTGCTGGTTGAAATGGGCAATTCCTGTGACAGCAGAGTGGTCCAACGAGTAAAGGCACTCGTTCGACACTTCATGGTCATTTTGTGACTAACAACAAGTTGAATTAAGGTCGTTTACTATCGCACATAAGGAAAACAAAAATGACTCAAAAAATGTTGGGGCTGAATAAAATCTTTAATTCATTGTAGATAAGCCATCCAAAAGTAGGAAATGTAATTTATTTGAAGACAGATTTCTCACACTGAAGGAATGATTATGGGATGTATGATGTGCATGTAAAGCCTGTACACAGACAGATTTTTGGCAGATCAGTTATTGTTCTAATAAGACACAGTCAGCCCAGCATGAGCCCACATATCTGGAAAAGCAAAAACGTAACATTATAGAGAGTTCCAGTAAGGTGGTGGAATAGGCAGAAAGACAGCACAGACCATCTTCAACAAAGAATAGGGGAACCAATTACCACAGATACAGAAGATAATCCTGGACCCCGGAGCCTTGAAGGGAGGAATACAGAAATGGACTAAACTCTAATTAGCAGAGAATTTGCATAAAAACACCAAAAAAGGAGACATATGGAACTGTGCTCTGGCAGCGATCGTGACAGCACAGACAGCTTGGATATTGCCGAGTGGTGGTAAGACCTAAGAATTAACCTAAAAATCGGCCCTGCTAGCGAGGAACTGCACAGAGGACTGCTCTCTGGCGGCTGGGAAATAAAATGGAAAGCGGCGAAGGGGAAGGTGGGCTAAGGTGTGGACTTTTGTCTGTCTGGAGGGCGCAGCCATTTTGAATGTTTACAAGTGGCTTGACCATTTTGGATATTTAAAGCGACAGTGCTCTCCCAGATTCCAAGCACTTAAGAACAGGCTCCACTTGCCGGGAACTCCAAGGACATTCTGGACCCAGAAGACTGGAAAGGTGCGACATTCCCCTTGTTACTCTTATACCCCACACCCTCTTGATGAACGGAAGTGCAGCCATCCCTCACTCCCACCCACTTTCTGGGCCAGCAGGAATTCCATCCCAGTCTGCGTGCTCGGATGGAGCCTTGGAGCCCTGCCCCCTCTTTTTTCTTTTTTCTAGTTTGTTTGTTTTTGTCTGCTTTAAAATTACTACTATTATTATTACCTTTATCCTTTTTACTATTATTCTTTATTCTTCCCCTCCCAGGTTCTAGTTTTCAACTTCTTTTTTTCTCTGTTCCTGCTTGCATTTTTTTTTTCTTTTTCATGGTTAACCCTGTTGCTTGTTTTTCTTTTTGCATTTTTCCATTTTTTGCTTCATTATTCTCCTTCTCTACCTTTTTTCTCTTATTGCCCTCTCCCCAAATATTGCAGGGGTTTTTCCCCCCTTCTTTCTTTTTTTGGTTACTGTTCTTGTGTGATTACACGGTGTATTTTTTGTCCATTTGCTTTTACTTTTTTGATGGTTATTCAATTGTTATTTTTGTTTAACTGAGTGGAAGACAACAACAGTCACCATACGACACAACTACACCCACACTTCCTTCTCCACCAACAGCCAACGATAAACCACCACCAAGAAGAGCCTGACTCACCCTTGGCTGCTCTTCACAAACAGTTAACAGAGATCTAAATACAACAACGCCACAATGTCTCGGAGACAACAGATCATTACAGTCCACACAAAGAAGCAAGATAAAGTGGTAGAAACAAGGGAGCAGGATACAGACCCAGAACACACCCTGAGAAAGCAGCAGCACTGAACTCTCTGATAAGGAATTCAAAAGAATTATATTTAGGTATCTTCAAAGGATTGAGAGACAAGGAAAACACAGACAAAACCCTGGAAGAATTTTGGAAGAAAATACAAGAACAAAATGACAACATAAATGAAAAATCAGAAATGATTCTAAATCTACAGACAGAAATCCAGAAGATTAATACTAAATTGTCAGAAATAGATAACACATTGAAAGGGCAAAGGAGTAGAATTGATGCAATGGAAGAGAGAATTAATGAAATTGAAGACAAATACCTGAACACTTTTTGGAAAGGGATCAATTA